AAGGCCCAGATTTGCTGAACCCTTTGATTATTCTCAGGAGGAATCCTAGGATGAATCCATGGATATGGACTCCTATAGAGAAGGGCTGTACTCTTCAGAAGAAAAAGAATCCTTAGCCCCAGATTTTATGGAACCTGCTCAAGTAGATCACTTAATAGCTAGAGTCCGGAAGTCCTTGAGCCTAAAGGAAGTATCCTCAGAACAACCATCTACTTCCAGCAGATATTTTGCAGATCTAAAAAAAGAAAACAGCTACTTTCCCAGTTCACAAGACAATTAAAGAACTGATTGAACATGACTGGTCTAATACACGCAGAAAGTTAGCAGCTCAAGGCAGAATGGCTCTCCTTTATCTTTCAGGAGGAAGGACTCCAGCTGCTGGGATTCTGCTCCTAAGGTAGATGCGGCTGTAGTAAGACTGGCCAAGCACACTACCCTACCAGTTGACGATGCAGGATCATTCAGAGATCCCATGGATAAAAAGGTGGATCTAAACCTCACTAAGGCTTATGTGGCAGCAGGCACAGGCCTCCATCCAGCAGTAGCTCTTACCTCAATTTCCAGAGCTTTAAGAATTTGGATGGAAAATCTAGAAGAGGACATTCAAAGAGGCAGAAGCAGATACAGTCTTCTAGAAAGCCTCAGAGACATAAAGCTAGCAGTAAACTTTACTTCTGACGCTTCAGTGGACCTGGTTAAGGCCTTAGCCAGAAATATGGCTCTCTCTGTCTCAGCTAGAAGAGCTTTATGGTTAAGATCCTGGGCAGCTAATGCTTCTTCTAAAGCCAGTTTATGTGCCTTACCACTCCACGGAGACATGTTGTTTGGGAGAAATCTGGATGAATGTATCAAAAGAGCAGCCGAAGGCAAAATAACCTTTCTCCCACAAGATCGTAAGCCCAGAGGATCCTATCGGTCCAAAAGATATCCAGACTACTTTTCCTTTCGAGATTCAAGATCTTATAAGCCAGGAAGAGAGCATGGAAGATCCCAGCCATGGAGAGGAGATCATTCATCTACAAGAAGTGGAAAATCAAGAGGCGCCTCATTCCACAAGAATCCCAGATCCTTAAGATGGGTTCCCCCCCCAGTCAGTAGGAGTGGGGGAACGTCTGTTACTTTTCCAAGAAGCATGGGAACAATCCAACACAGACAGATGGGTGTTGGATATCATAAGAAGAGGATATCGTTTAGAGTTCTCCAGACCCCCTCCATCTCACTCTTTTCAAACAACCAAATGGCCAGGAGAAGTAGAAAAAAGACAAGCCTTGAAGGAATTCGTCTCTACACTCCAGGAAGAAAGGGTCATCATTCAGGTTCCTCGGAGTCTACAGGGTCAAGGTTTTTATTCACATCTGTTCCTCACCAGAAAGGCTTCAGGTGGATGGAGGCCTATCCTAGACTTAAGCACGTTAAATCAGTTCCTACACATCCGAAAGTTCAAATGGAGTCAATTCAATACATCATAAAGACAGTTTTTCCACACCAATGGATGATTTCTATAGACTTGGCAGACGCTTATTTCCACATCCCTATTGCAGTAGAACATCAGAAGTTCCTTCGCTTTGCGGTGGAAAAAGGGCATTTTCAATTCCGGGCACTGCCATTCGGTCTCAGCACAGCTCCAAGAACATTCTCCAAAGTCTTAGTTGTCTTAATTGCAGAACTCAGAAAAAAGAGCATAGCCATCTAGCATTACCTGGACGACATCCTTATTTTGGCAGAGGACAAAGATACCCTTCAGACCCATCGGCAAATCTGTATGCGTTTCCTACGTCTCCATGGATGTAATAAATGAGAAAAAGAGTCAATTACAACCAGCTCAGAAGATGAAATATTTGGGAGCCATATTCAACACACTAGCAGGCACAGTGCAACTGTCTCCAGAAAGTACAAAATTAATAAAGAAAGTCAAAGACATGTTAGCATTCAATGTGACCTCAGCAGAGAAATGCTTGAGTCTTCTAGGCTCAATGTCCTCCACCATAGGGCTAACAAGATGAGCCCAATGGAGGATGAGGAAATTCCAGAAGAACTTCATCCTCCAGTTCAGAACAGGAAATCCATGACAGCCTATCAAGATTCCTCCTCAGGTCCATCAATCACTGATGTGGTGGTTACAAAAGAAGTTCCTGTTCAGAGGATTCCCCTTGGGGAACATCACATGGACTGTTGTAACCACGGACGTGAGCCAATGGGGATGGGGAGCTCACCTGCAAGACCAATTCATACAAGGGAAATGGCTTTTTCCAGCAACAGAGACTCCCTCCAAACTATTAGAGCTGATGGCAGTACTAAGGGCTCTGAAATATTTTCTCCCCCTTAGACACTACAAGTGGGTCAAAATCAGAACAGACAACGCCACGGTAGTTGCCTACATAAATCATCAAGGAGGAACGAGGAGTCAGAAGATGATGTCAATTATGTAGCCTATGATGGCTTTTATGCAGAAACATCTAGCAGGCATATCGGCAGTACATCTTCCTGGAATTCAGAATTCCATAGCAGATTTCCTGAGCAGAGAGGAATTAGACCCAGGAGAATGGAGTCTTTCAAACAAAATATTAGAGAAAATTACACGTATATGGGGAATGCCACAAATAGACCTAATGGCAACAAACAAAAACAGGAAAGTAAGAAACTTCTTCTCAAAGAACATCGATCCTCTGGCCATAGGAAGAGATGCTCTTTCAAGCGATTGGCAATTCCCCCTAGGTTACGCATTCCCTCCTACTCCACTCATCTTTCCACTTCTGAGATGGTTGAGACAAGAGACAGTATCCATCATTCTCATAGCTCCCTTTTGGCCTCGCAGACCATGGTTTCCCCTTCTATTGAGCCTTTGCAATGCAGACCAGCTTCCATAGATTCCTTTGCTTCTACATCAAGGTCCTGTTCTCCACCCAGACCCAGTCTCCCTCAATCTGATGGCATGGAAGTTGAAAGGGAAGGGTTAAAAGGTAAAGGTTTTTCTCATGCAGTAATAGAGACCCTGCTACAAGCAAGGAAACGCTCTACGTCCACCACTTACTACAGAATCTGGGATGTCTTTTCCTCCTGGGCAACGTCTAATCAAATAAACATTCAGACGATCACTACTAAAGATATCCTGGAATTTCTGCAACTAAGTCTCGACAAAGGGTTAAGTTACAATACCCTGAAAGTACATGTTTCGTCTCTTTCAGCCCTTACAGAACAAAGATGGGCCTTAAACACGAATGTGACCAGATTTATGGCAGCAGTATTAAAAATAAAGCCTCCTATCAAGCCTTTTGCTCCACCATGGGATCTACCACTGGTATTAAAAGCTCAGAGCGGTCCTCCTTTTGAACCTCTAGAATCCATCTCTCCTCACTTTCTCACCATAAAGACAGTTCTGTTGGTGGCTTTAGCTTCAGGCAGAAGGGTGTCTGAGCCTTATCGGCCAAAGAGCCTTTTACAGTATTCCACAAGGACAGAGTAATTTTGAGGACTGTTCCTGAATTTCATCCTAAGGTGGTATCAACTTTTCATATCAACGAGGAGATAGTACTCCCAGTTCTTCATTCGGAAGTTCCCGAAAATGAAGCAGAACCCAATCCTTCTCCGTTAGATCTGGTGAGATGTCTGTCTATCTACAAAAATCATCTGCTTGGCGTAACTCTCAAAGACTGTTCATCATCCCCAACGGTCCCAGAAGAGGGCTTCAAGCATCTAAAATATCCATCAGTAGATGGATAGTAGCCGCAATCATACAGGCTTACAAGGTATCAAATGTGAAAATTCCAGAAGGACTCAAAGCTCACTCTACGAGGTCCCTTTCTTCATCTTGGGCAGCAGCGGCTAACGTTTCACCAGAACTCATCTGCAAAGCAGCCATTTGGTCCTCTCCGAACACGTTTATAAAACATTACCAGATTGACGTAAAAGCCAGCCAGTTAGACCTCTTTTGCAAAACTGTACTGTCTGCAGTCAACTCATCTGTTTTGTCTACAATTTCACGTGTAGTTTTCTAATACACTAGCATCTCTGAATTACTGAGTCTGAGTTTTTCTTTATTCCATCCCTTGGTTATTGCTGGGGTATTACCCATTGTTGTGCTGCCATGGATACGGCCAGGAAAGATGAAAATTTATTCATACTTACCGTAATTTTCCTTTACTGGTCATAGGCCATGGCAGCACTAAGATCCCACCCTGGGATATTGCTGTTAAAAAGACTGAGGGAGTTTTGGTGGGAGGAGGTATTTATACCTCTATTTTACTTCTGTTCCTGTCTAATTAGGGATAGGGAGGAGCTAACCCATTCTTGTGCTGCGATGGCCTATGACCAGGAAATGAAAATTACGGTAAGTATGAATAAATTTTCATCTATACATGATACACTTGTAAAATATGTAACATAGTATTTGTAGTTTGTTTATTGTTTTGTATTTTGGATACCTGCACTTGGTGTCTATTACATTGTCCATCTGTATGTTTATGGACACGTATTGAGCTTCCTCTAATCTACATTAACTCTCTATGGAGTGAACCCCCCTATGCCACAAATTAAGAAGGGGCATAGAGAGTGCCACATTATTGAGGTAATACCCATTAGACTTCCAATATAGACAAGGGGCTCTTATACTTTCATTTTGGATGCATATATAAGATGCAAATATAGGACTGATAACATTAATATATATGCACCACTTAGGGGACTATATATCCCCCCGGGGGAAGCTTCTATATATTTGAATATCGATCACATGGTAATTCTGAGTTATGTTCGGCTAGTCTGTTGGTAATGTGAGTGGGAATCCATCAGACTGTCAGCTAGGTCCGTTTTGGCCCCGCCCACATCATTTCTATCAGCTGGGCGATATGTCAATCTAGCCCATTGCTCCTTGGCTGTCACTCAAAACATATCTGGCTCCACCCACTTCAAGCCTATTGTACTGAGCCGGCGGAGGTACATGAGAACCTTCTAATGGGGGATGTATCCCTAGTTTTAGATAGCGTTTTTTGGCACCTCCCCGTTCACGTGGGCTAGGACCTCACATGCCGATTACAGACGCTGCCAACATCACCTACACCTGTGAGGTGTCCCTTGGACACCATTGGTTGCAGGTATTCAATTTTTTGGGGCTTAAAGTATTTAAGTGAGATCTTTTCAATATGCTGTTGGCCCCTGACGAAGGTGCACCACAAAAGGCACTGAAACGCGCGTCGGGCGTGTGTTTCATCTCTTGATGCATAGTAGTATTTGTATCACTTGTATATACTTTATTTTTGGTCTCATTATTATTTATTCTATCTTTATTTACTAGCCAGCATACCATTATTATTATTATTCCTACATTGCTATGTTTATATCCAGGAGATGCTTCTGATCTCAGAGCCTTGTTCGTACTGAGTACAGCAGCATCGATTCTCTTTGTCTTTTGTATGTTCATTCACACCCACTACAGTGGAAGAGGTTTCTGCTCTGCTCCAGTCCTCCCGCCGCACCACCTGCTCCCTAGATCCAATTCCCTCTCATCTCATCCATACTCTGTCTTCTTCTCTTTCTCTACCTCTCACAAACATTCTCAATCTCTCT